CTTTTCTTGTGATGTCTCTTTCTTTAGTTTTGGGAACTGTTCTCTCCTTATCAATTTTTTGAAGTCTTTCTAAGGAATTGGCATTAATTCTTTTCTTATTTGAGGGATTTCAGTTGGTCTTGGCCTTTTCCTTATAGGTTGTTTTTTGACTACTAATGTAATCCCTTTACTTGTAATACATCTATTCATATTGGCTGTTTCTTCTTGAATTGGTTTTGGTAGTTTGTGTCATTCTAGGAATTTTTCCATTTCATCTAAGTTATCTAATTTATGAGCATGCAATCCCATAAATCTGTGCAAACCTTAATTCATGTTACATCATAATTGCCTAGCTTGTCCACCAGTAGAATGTGAATTTCTTGAAAGCTGGAGCTATATTTTGCATGTTTTTGTTTTCTCCATGGCTAATGGAGTGTCTTGAATAGAATGGATTCTTCGTAAACATAGAAGAGACAAATGGACACTGTTTACAACAGACACTTTACGTTTAGGTGAAGAACAAAAGCCATTCATATCCTATTTTATTTCTTCATTAATCAGAAATTGGTTCAGAAACAAAGTCCTTGAATTGTAACATATATCTTAGATAATTGAAGAAAGACATGATATAAGAGAAGAAAATGAACTTTACATGTATGTTGAAGTATCTAGTTACAGTTTATTCACTTTTATTATTGAATGCTGATACATATATGAATATGCCATATTTCTATTATTCTACTGTTGGTGAAGATTTGATTAATTTTTCAGTCTTGCCATTTTACAAATATTGCTTCTTTGAACAATCTATATATGTATTATGGTATACATGTACACACAATTCTTTAAGGTTTATACCTAAGAGTAGAAAAGCTTGACTTCAGGATATGAGTATCTCCAAAATAAGTCCAAAATAAGTCCAGTGTTTGTTTTCTAAAGTGACTGAACAAATATACACTCTTACCAGGAGCATTAGAGTTCTTCTTGCTTCACAGTGTCATCAACACTTATCAATCCAACCTTTTAATTTTAACTATTCAAGTGGGTATGTGGTGGTACCTCATTCTTTTATTTCAGAATATTAAGGGAGTACAAATGTTTAGGTTACATATATTGCCTTTGCGCCACACAACTCAGAGCTACAAGTGTGTCCAGTCCCCAGACAGTGTGCACTGCACCTTTTAGGTGTGAATATACCCACATCCTCCTCCCCACTCCCACCTACCCTTCACCCAATGAATGTTACTACCATATGTGAATGTAAGTGTTGATCAATTAGTACCAATTTGATGGTGAGTACATGTGGTACTTGTTTTTCTACTCTTGTGATACTTCACTTAGTAGAATGGGCTCCAGCTCTATCCAGGATAGTACAAGAGGTGCTAGTTCACCATTGTTTTTTGTGGGTGGTAAGTACACCAGGGTATACATACACCACATTTTATTAATCCATTCATGTACTGATGGGCACTTGGGTTGCTACAACTTTGCAATTGTGAATTGTGCTGCTAAAAACATTTGAGTACAGAAGTCTTTTTTATAGAATGTATTTTTTTCCTTTAAGTAGATGCCCAGTAATGGAATTGCTGGATCAAATGGTAGTTCTACTTTTAGCTCTTTGAGGTATCTCCATATTACTTTCCACAAAGGTTGAGTAGTTTGCAGTCCAACCAGCAGCATATGCATGTTCCTATCTCTCTACATCCACACCAACATTTGTTGTTTTGGGACTTTTTAATAAAAGTCATTCTCATTGGAGTTAAATGGTATCAAATTGTGGTTTTGATTTGCATTTCCCTGATGAGTAGAGATGTTGAGCATTTTTTCATGTTTGTTAAGCATTAGTCTGTATTCTTTCGAAAAGTTTCTGTTCATGTCCTTTGCCCACTTTTTAATTTGGGTTGTTTGACTTTTTCTTGTTGATTTTCCTGAGTTCTATATAGATTCTAGTTATCAGCCCTGTATCAGATGTGTATCATGTGTATATTTTCTCCCATTCTGCAGGTCGTCTATTTGTTCTCCTGATAGTTTCCTTGGGTGTGCAGAAGCTTTTTAATGTGATCAGGTCCCATTTATTTATTTTTGTTGCTGTGATTGTCTTTGGATCTTTTTTTTTTCATAAATTCTTTGCCTAGGTTGATATCTATAAGAGCTTCTCCAACGTTTTCTTCTAGACTTCCTACAGTTTCTTGCCTTAAGCTTAAGGTTTTTTGTTTGCTTGTTTGTTTCTTTTATGGGAAACAATCTTACTCTGTCTCCCAGACTAGAGTGCAGTGGCATCATCATAGCTTACTGCAATCTCAAATTCCAGGGTTCAACAAATCCTCCTGCCTCAGCCTCCCAAGTAACTGGGACTACAGGCACATGCCACCAGCCCAGCTAATTTTTGTATTTTTTTGTAGAGACAGGGCCTTACTCTTGCTCAGGCTGGTCTCAAAACTCCTGAACTCAAGTGATTCTCCCATGTAGGCCTCCCAGAGTGCTAGGCTTACAGGCATGAGACAGCCACTGTTGAGGTTCATTTTTATGCTTACTAATGAGATTAGGCACTTTTTGCTATTTATTGAATATTTGAATATTATCTTTTATAAAGATTCTATTCACATCACTTGAACATTTTTACTATTGTCTTTTTGTTTGCTTATTTCTTTGAGGGTAGGGATTATTTATAGTCATGACCTGCATGATGATGTTTGGATCAATGGCAGCCCACATAAATAATGGTGGTCCCATAAGATTATAATACTATATTTTTACTGTACTTTTTCTATGATTAGATATTCTTAGATACACAAATGCTTGCCACTGAATTACAGTTGTTGTAGTATTCAGTACAGTAATGTGCCATACAGGTTTGTGGCCTGGAAGCAATAGGCTATACCATACAGCTTGAGTGTGTAGTAGATTTGTGTGAGTACAGTATGATATTTGCACGAAATCACCTAATGACACATTTTTCTGAATGTATCCTCATTGTTAAGTGACACATGACTGTATATAATAGATGAGAGAGCCTTTTGTCAATTATGTATTGCAGATTTTTCTTCCTCCTTAAATTTTTAAAAAAATATTTATATTATAAAATAAAACATACAACCAGAAAATCATTTAAACAATTACACAGCTTAGTGAATCTTTCGTAAGACAAACTCTTGTGATCACTACCTAGATCAAGAAAAAGGACTTTGCCATCCAGAAGTTGCTCAATGTGCTTTTTCCCCAAACCAGTCACAGACCTTTCCTTCCAAAAGTCATTAGTCATTACTACCCTAAACTTTACACTAATCACTTTATTAAATATCTTTATAGTTTTATTATTTAGCTTTCCTATCCACTTCCTAAATGGTACCTTTTTGATGAATAAAATTTCTCAATTTCGACTTAATCTTTTCTATTTTTAGTTAGGTGTTTTTTCTGTACAATTTCAAAAATACTTTCCCCAATCTGGAGAAGACAACTTATTTCACTCTCTAAAATTTTTATTGTTTTGCTTCTCAAATTTAGTTTTTGATACCCAGAAATCTCATATTTTGTTTTTCCCATATTATCCTATTATTCTGCAACCAGCTATTGAAAGTCTATCATTTTCTCACTGCTCTCAATGCTATGTTTGTCATAAAGCAAATGTTAATATGTGCATAAGTCTTTGTGTAATGTCAGCTATAATCTAGATATTTATTTCTAGCTTACCAATGGATCCACCTGTTAAACAAAAGCAGGTTAATTCATCTAAATTCTGATTCAAGAATTTGAATCTAGACATCATGTATGTCCTCTGCATCCACCATAAGGAAGAAAATTGTTAATATTTATTTCCAAGACTTATAGCTTCCCTAGATTGAATAACAAATTGCCAGGAATGAAATCAAGGTAAAAGAAACACTCTTGCTACTGAAGCAATGACTACAGATTGCAGATACCAGAGATTAGATTCCATCTGCACAGGTATCGCAAACATATTCTCAAGGAAGGAAAGAGGGTCATGGGCAGGGCTAAACTTAATCAGGTGATGTGCACAGTAATGTTTATATATTAATTCCGTTATCTTCTTAACAGTTCCATAAATAATAGGGTCAATATTACTGCAATACTTTTTAATACAAATTTTATACACACCAAATCTCAGTATAAATTTTATATCTTTCATGAGAAGTCACAGAGTTGACTAACACCAGAATTGAAAAAAGGATTCAGGAAATTCCCTTGGCTTGCATGCCTGCATTTTCATTAAGACCACTCACTGTTCTTCTATGACATAAACTCCACAGTGTTTCTTATTTTATTTTTGGTGATATAAAAAATTGATGCTGTGTTCATCTGGTTTTCTCCTTTATACATTGTACACCATGCCAAAACAGTTTTCTTTGTCAAATCTCTTAATATCATGGCATAGTTGAACATTTGCTTTTGAATGTCTTCACCTTAGAGAAAATGGGGGCACATTTCTCACATCCATGGTTTCCTCTGTCATAGAAGATGTAGGCTGTAATGTTTACTCTTGAGAAGAAATATTGCAAGATACCCTATATACTCAGAAATTAGCATTTGGCAGTCACTGAAAGACCACAGTCATGAACAGGGTGTTATTAATGACTATGGCATGAGCACTTAAAAATGTGTGTGTGTGTGTGTGTGTGTGTGTGTGTATCCACATATGCACTAATAGACACTTGTTAGTTTTTGCAGGGTATATCTCTTATGAGAAATGGTCTATCTACTGGGAGTGCAACCAGTGTTTCATAATCATGCCTAAAATATTCCTCAACTTTTATTCCTTTAGCTATTTAAAACATCTCTTAGTGCAGCAGTTATATATGCTGAGTTTTTTTCCCTTTCTTCATTTCACTCCCTTTCCTTTCTCACTTCATCAACGGTATAGAACACTCGGAAGTTAACTGACAAAATCCACATATCTGCAGGACATTCTCCCTCTGATACTGGAAAGTAGAAGCTTTGGACAACTTCTTTAACAAGCTAAGTAAATGCCTGTGATGGCTCATGTCCTAGTCTCAGTCCCTTGCTCCCCGCATATCCCAATCTCTGAATAAAGGCAAATGGTATAGGCTCTTCCAGAGGTCACAGGATAAATGGCCCACGGAATTCTGGGGACAATGACCCATGCTTCAACCCAGTAGCAATAGTGCAAGATTATTTTTTCAAGGCCAGTGTCTTTCCCATCATCTTTCTAAAAGCATTCTTCATGTCCTTATTCCTGAGGCTGAATGTGACGGGGCTGAGTAAAGGGGTGATGATAGTGTAAGGGACTGCTATGAGTGTGTCATCTCCCCCTGAGGCTTCTGGCTTCAAATAAACAATAGATGCGAAACCAAAGTGGATGATGACCACTGTGAGGTGGGAGGTGCAGGTGGAGAATGCCTTCTGCTTGCCCTCGGCCGAAGGGATCCTGAGAACAGTGGAAAGAATGAAAACATAAGTCAGGATAATGAGGAGAAAGGTACCCAGCAAGCCCGACACTGGGATCATTCTCACAATGAACTCTATGAGGTCGCTGTCTATACAGGACAGCCTGACAACTGCCCGCATATGGCAGAAGAAGTGTTTGATGAGGTTGGGGCTGCAGAAAGAGCCCCTGAATATCAGTGCAATCTCTATCAGAGAGATGAAGAAGCCTCCAGCCCAGGCAGAAGCCACAAGTTGTCCACACACAATGTTGGTCATAACCAGTGGGTATCTTAGAGGGTTAAAGATGGCCAGGAAGCGGTCATATCCCATCAAAGTGAGGATGATACAGTTTGTGCCACCAAGTCCCAGGAAGAAACACATCTGTAAGCCACAACCCACGACTGAAATGCTTCTGTTCTTAGCCAGCAGATCTTCCAGCATCTTAGGGATGATAGCCAACGTGTAGCAGGTCTCGGAGAAAGAGAGTGCACTAAGGAAGAGGTACATAGGCGTGTGGAGAGACCTGTCCACCCAGGTTAGACCCATGATGGTGAGATTACCTGCAAGGGTGAGAAGGTAGAGGCAAAAGAAGACCACAAAGAGGAATGTCTGTACATTTGGGTACATAGAGAAGCCAACGAGAATGAATTCCTTCAGGATAGTCTGGTTGATCTTCATTGTTTGCATGTCTGAAATGTAAAAGAAACAACAAATAAACATCCAACTCTGTGTTATTCTCTGATGTCATCAAGTGAAAATTGTGATGTAAATAAGACAATTCATCAGAGTTACAACTAACAACTGCTTTTTCATTATTTTAGCTAAATCGTGTATGTAGTTGATACGTCTTCCTCCTTTTGCATTTATTCATTCATCTCTTCCTTTGTTCAGCACTTCTTTATTAATCACTTATGTGACAAGAAGGTTTGCTCTGGCCTAATGTTTAAAGGATTTTATTATATTTGCTGATAATATGATAAAAGAGAAAATGTTCCAGTTGATGTTCAGATGAAGGAGATTCAGATGTATCAGGTGAGCCAGATCTGGATGAGCCTCTGAACATCATAAAAGCTTCTAAGTCACTAATGAACAGAGTCAGGGCCCAACACAGCAGCTTCCACATTGTATATGGTTTCCAAATATTTCCCAAGTAAATACTGAGAATTCCTTTACTAGTAATTTTATTAAAAACTTGGACATGTCTTACAATTTAGAGAATCCCAAAGTCATTATCCCTTCTTGGAGAAACCATTTATGTCCTAAAATATCAAAGGAAAATAAAGAAAATGCTCCCTTCCCTATAACCTGAGACGAGGCAAGGAAGAGAGATAGGATACCTCAGAAATATCAGGATTAATAGCGATTAATTACAATACGTGGATGATCTTAACAAACAGATTCTTTATGCAAAAAGGTGGCAGCTGAGATTTTGTCCATTAGGGAATGCCAAGCTCAACATACCCCCCAAATTTTTTGTTTTGTCATTGTATGAACTTGTTAATAATTCTACATCTGAGTTAATCTTATCCTTCTCTGAATTCTAGAACATGTTGCTTGTCCTTATATTTAACGCATTTATCACCCTTGCATTATTTTGAACTACTATTTTTCTTGTCTCATATGACAAGATATTTAATAACTAGCATTCATTATCTCTATGTTTTTCCAAATTCTTTCAAAGTTTTATTGATTTTACTCTTCATAACACATATATGAAGTGCATAGGACAGCTGTGAAATGTATATGGCAGATTATTTTACTTATTTTAGAAATAAAAAGGTTGTATCTAGGAAGTGATATATATGTAACTAGAAGCAAACTATTGTAACTTGAATTCTGCATTTTTTCCATTTATTTTCCTTTCCTTGAGGAAATATACTATGAGTCATACATTTCTGCATTTTTCAGGGTGATAATACAGATTATTTTAAGAAGGTAATAATTCCCTATAAATGTTGGATTCATGAGTTAGTCATCAAAAAGTTGCTTAATGTATAAACAAGGGCTGCTTTACTGAATTCAGCATTGTACAGCATGTGATTTTTGAGCATGGAGATTAACAGACTTTTCACTCTAATTCGGTTTATCTCAGGCTAAGCTCAAACATTCTCTTGGCAGGATCTACTTTGTCGCTGATGGTCAGAAGAAGCAGTAGGAAAATGGTCTAAATATAAATAGTTCCAGAAATAACCCATAACCCTATGGACTCTACCTTATAGGGTTTTTTATTCTTTTTTGGAACTTTTTAATTGTTTATAAAAAAAACAAAGATAATTGCAATAATCAGACATGTTTAAATCAGTGAATTTTCAGAAACAACTGACCTGTGTAACCAGTGCCCAGCTCCCATATCAAGAAATAGTATTATATCAGCAACTCAGAATCTTCCCATTTCATGCTCCGTTTTGTTACAACCCTCAATTCTTTGTCCTCTTAGACCTAACAAGACCCGATTCTCTTATAGTCATACATGGATCTTGTGACCTTGCCTTCTATCAAGCCTTTCTGTATTCCAGTTTCCCTTTCTCTCACTGTATCTACCCTTCTTATCTGTGAGCATTCACCTACCAATGAGAAGTCTAGGGTACTTGTCTGTCCTCTTGGCTAAGGATATATTATGAGTGTCAGTATCTACGGAAACCTTAGGCTTCCTCCTGAGGTCTTTTTGTGCAAGCCTTTATAGTACCCAAATTTAATTTCAATATCTTTGGTTTCCAAATGCACTTGTAGATTATTACTCCACTTTCCCATATGATAAGCTTCCTGCAGCATTCTAGATTTCCTTCAGAAGACATCCTTTCCCTCTCAGAAATACCAGGTCCCAATAGATTCCATCTGCTTAACCCTAAGCCATTGTGAAAAATTCCTCCCTTCAGTAGTGCACTTCACACACCAAAGTTCTTAAGCTCTCTTATGTCCTTGCAGTAATTTTATAAGAAAAACAATTATATGGATTCTAGGACTAAAATATTAAATAAATGTATCAAGGAAAAATTAAAATACATTGGCAAAACAAGGAGCTGCTTTAGTACCTTGTGTCCTTGGTATACAATCCAATCTCTTTTTAACGTAATACCTGAGGAACAGTCTGATCTCACAAAATATGTTGTAGTGCTTCCAACACAGCCTGGGGTGGCAGGGAAGTTGCTTGCAAAGGCATCATTAAATTCATAAGCTTTTGAAAATGCAAAAAATAACCTATACAAATTTTATGATAGGTTTTTCACTATCTAGTCTTAACTGTGTGCTAAATATTTATTTAGTGAATCACCAGCAATACAGTAAGCATGTCAGAATCTCCCTCCACAAGCCTACATATTGTGTGTGTGTGTGTGTGTGTGTGTGTGTGTATATGTGCGCGCGCGCGTGCGCATATGGTGGGAATACTATACCCCTCTCTACCCTCACCTATCTTTAAAGTTGTCCCTAATTATGCTTGTGTCAAATTTAACTTGGGATATGGACACACTGACAAAAGAAATACACACACTTTCTGAAGTGTAAAAGAAATGATGATTTGGAGGAAATATGTAATTTTATCCCAAGGACCCTTCCTTTTTGCAGTGACAATTATGAAGAGAAAGTCAAACCATCTAGAATTGTTTCCTACCTTGTGTATTTTACCAGGATCCAAAGCCAATACACTGTCACAGTTGTAATATATTCTTCCAAAGACAGTCTTCACGTTGTTGTTGGAAGCATACTTTGTTCACCTCTCAAAAGAAACAGAGGTTCACCAAGTATGAAAATCACAAGCCTAAGAGTGTGGATTTCTTACTTTTATCACTACTAGCTTAGTGATGTTGGGAAAATTGCTGCATCTTCTGAATTTGAGTCTCCCCAGCTGGGAAGTGAGGTGGAAAGTCCCAAGTCTGTGCAAGCTTCAGCTTTCTGTGGTTCTAGAACTTTGTGACATGAGTTGTAAGGCTAGGCCACATGTGCTGTCATCAGCCCTCACCACTACTAAATCACGGTGATTTACAGACTTCCTTCCTAATAGTTTAAATATATCATCTGATTATTATCAGAGCCAGAGATTCCTCAGCTCTAGAGGTTTGCTTCTGCTTAGGAGACCCCAAGGGAATTCCTCTCATCCTTCATCAGAGGGAGCAGAGAACTTTCTCACCCAACTTTGTAATTTGCTCTCATTAGTTACAAGGCTTAGTGTCATGTGTGACTTGTAAAACTCTTCTGGGAATCTCTGGGGCTTTAAAACTTGCAGAGTTCATATCTTGACCATCAACAAGTCTTCCTGCTACTTTATAAGGTTGTTTGGGCAGGGAAAGTGAATCAAATTTGCAGCCCTAATGGTCATTCTATTCACTCTTCCATTGTCAAAGCTGCTATCCTCGATCAAAACTCGGTCAGACTCCTCTAAGCCCTCTTCTCAATTTGACCTTGAACTCAGGCCTCAGTGTCCATCCTTGTTGGGCCTGCCTCACTCTGTTGTAGAAAGACTCTTGCTCAGTCAATTTAGAGATAATTTGCTACCTTTGACGTCTGACCACTCTTAATATCTGAAATTCCTCACCCCCACCCTCCTGAAGGTAGTGTACGATCATCATAGCTTGCCTTCAGCAAGAGTCCTGTGAGAGCAGTGTAGCAATAATTCTTCCCTATCCTGGATGCCTCCTCTTAACAATTTTCACCGACCCTAGTCCTTGTTCTTTGGCTGTAGATCCCCACTTTTCCATGCTTTACTCAAGATTGACTGTAGTATTAAATGATGCTTGTTTTCCTCTATTGCAGTAGTTCCTGAATAAATTCAGTTTTGCTATTTTAAACCATTGCATAAACGTGGACTTTTTTGGTACCACTCACCTCAAACACACTCACTCTTTCCCTCTAATCACTGACTCCTTCTCTGGGTATTTAAGAAGAATCTATGGTGTGTTAATGCTACTCTAAGCATTGCGAGAGAACTCAGAAAAATATAAGGATTGGTATCTTATCACAGGACTTTACTTATTTATTTTTTTTTATTTCGGCATATTATGGGGATACAGATTTTAAGGTTTCAATAAATGCCCTTTCCCTCCCTCCTCCCACAAGTCTGAGTTTCTAGCATGACCATCCCCCAGATGGTGCACATCTCACTCATTATGTATTCACACCTCTGTGGAGGAAAGAAGATAGTGCTCTTAAAAGTGAATTGTACTATAGTAAGCTGAGGACTAAAACAATAATTAGGGAAGAACACATGACAACAATTGGACCAAGGTGGTAAGAAAAGTGTTATGGAGGAGAGAGAATATATATCATCTTGTCCTGGTAGAAGTGCTGAGAAGGAGTTCTGAAAATAAGCAAGGTTGAAATTCCAGCTGCTAGTAGGTTGTAATATCTTGTGGCAATCCAGCATTCTCAATTACACAATGACTACATAGAATTGATTAAATGAACATATTTCAAAAGTATCGAATATATATTATGAGAATCAGATTTTTACAATACTTAATTCTTAATACTTTCCCATATGGATGAGAACAAAAGCACTTGAAAATATGCTCAACATTATCATTCATTACCAAATATAAATTAAAATATAATATGATTCTACTATATAGCTATTCAAATAGTTGAAATTTTAAAGAGGTTTGAACATATTACTGTTGGTGAGGATTTGAAAGAAAGAAATGTAACTACTCATACACTGCTATTAAAGATGTATAAATTATAAAACAGCTTGGAATTTTTGAAAATAGTTTGTTGATACCTTGAAAAGTTTAATCTATTCAGGTTCCAGGACAGGATGGTTTATATTCACTTTTCTCTGCAGGTTCTCTCTGAATACAAGCATAAAATGACTCTGAAAGGTGAAAAGGAAGGAGAAGGTGCACTGACCACAGACCTCTGGGCTTGAGGAACAATACCACAGTGAGCTCTCTAGGATTTATTTTTAGCCCCCATATATGCTAGACTGGGATGTGGAAAGCCCTACAGTTTACAACCTTGAACTGTCGACAAGCATAGGCTAAAACAAAGGAACGGAAAGAAAAGTAAAGTCTATTCTTTCTGGCCAAAGGAACAAGAAAAGGGAAGCCCAGTGGGGGTTTGATGGGAGATCCATCATCAGTGGCAGTAGTAATTCTCATTTGTCTGCAGCTGCTATACCAGCAAAGCTGGCATCCTAACTCAATCCCTAGCTCACATCAGCCATTTAGGCCTTGTCTGCCCACAGTAGCACTGCTGGCAGAGCTCAGGAGGCAGTGCATCCTCTACCTTACACAAGCTGGCAGCAACTGCAGGATGATCATTGCCAGAAAAACCCATGAAGGTCAACCCATCTCTTGGCCCAGTGCTCATAGATGACAGGCTCTTTTGCCCCAGAGACTATGTCAACAAAGCCAGGAATGGTTTCCAGGACTTATACACTAAACGTAAAAAGAGGCCTCTTACTAAAATGAGAGATTTAAACAGGATCAAGAGTCTTCTAACATAATATTCAAAATGTCCAAGATACCACTGAAAATCACTTGTGATACCAAGATCCAAGAAAATCACAACTTAAATGAGGAAAAACAATCAACTGATGCCAATACCAGGTGAACAAGATAGTGGAACTATCTAATAATGATTTTAAAGTAGCTACCATAAAATTTATTCAGTAAGCAATTATAAATCTCCTTGAAACATGAAAACCTTTTGCAAAAGAACTATAAAAACAAAATGAAAATTATGGAAATGAAAAATACAATAATCAATGTCTCAAGTATTTCAGATCTACTTGACAAATGCTGTTAGTATTGGGAGCTGGCATATATTTCTTTATATGTGGATATATATATATATATAACTCATACATTATGCATATTGACATATTAGCATACTTCTGTTAGCTCAGAAAAATGTATTTTAAAAATGTATTCAGTGGAATTTAAATGAAACATTAATTTTCTATTTTATATCATTAAAAAGATATCTCTTAGTTTTCTTTTTCAACTTCTTTTATATATATGTTTATGCTTATGTGTTTGGTTGATCATCTTACACTTCTCTGCAGCAAAAATATTTATAGATTGCTCACAAAAATGTTTTACTATATTTTATATAAAAGAGAATTTTATTTAATGTTAAAAATAAAATTTTAATACAAAATTATCACTGAATGAAAACAGTGCTTTAAAATTACCTCATAAACCCCATGATTAATATTTATTCTTACTAAAATAAAACACTTCAGGATCAATTTTATTGTATAATATTTTATTTTTATAGACAGAAATACTAGCAACTCTATTCACAGAAATACAAAAAAAGGCACTGAGGGAGCTTTTATTTACTTTTATTTATTTGTTTTTAATAGGAATGCTATTCAAGTCGTTGAATTTCTTCCAAGTCATATACTATTAATAGCTTAATGGAATATCACTAAAAGTTATTTTTAATAATTTATTAGAGAATAATTTTATCAGTTCCTTTCTTTACTTTCTCAAAAATGACAGGGCATCTATTTGACTTGCAAAAAATATTGTCTATTATTAGCATTTAATTTTTTCAGTTTCTGAAAAAGTTCATCATAGCAAGCTTTCCAGTTATTATCAAATGATAGTTAAGAATGATTGTTCAGCCATTATAAACACTTTGCTTAACTTAATATATTCAGAACTTTGGGGAAAATGAAAATGCTATTGATTTCAATCACCTTGGTCATTATATTTCTTTTGTTACAATATTTTTGGGTTATAACATGCTTTAGCTCTCTATGTATCTATCCCTCAATTCACCTAACTTTGGAAAGGTTGGAGGTACAGAATTCACTCATTCAATTTGGGAAACTCTCTGTGATAAAACCTGACAGCAATACGACTTCTGCTTCCAGGAAGATGGACTAGAAGTATTTTTTCCCTATTGCTTCCACCTAGTACATCTAAAACCCTAGACATTCATATATAAGAAATACATATATAATATATATATTATATATATATATAAAAGGATAGAGTAAATAATGACGTGCCAGGGACTTAGCGACTCAAAGAAAGTTGTAGTGATGAGTTCCCTGAGTTTTCCTGTGGCCGCATATATCCCAGTCTTGAAGCTCATGAAGACACCAACAGACACAGATTAAAAAAAAAAAAAAAAGCCCTAAAATAAACCTGCTCTTTGGAAGATCAGGAAAAAAAAAAAAAAAAAAAGCCCTAAAATAAACCTGCTCTTTGGAAGATCAGGAGGACAGTGGCAGCCGGGCAGCCCATTAAGACAGAAAACTTTTAAAGAATAAGCACTCTACTACAGCCAAACACCATAGAAAATGCTGTAACCTCATGCCAATGCCACAGAAGGCCAAGTGGGGAGACTAGACTTTCATGCTCACAGGGCTGTAACGGTGTGCCTCAATGTCCTCTCTGGGGTGGTGTCATCAAAGGCTGGTTCCAGAGCATGGATCTCTGCAGGCTGGTAATGAGCTGCCCTCTAGTCCCTCCCTGAGGTGTCTGCGGAGACCGCATGGGAAACTGGGATTTCCACTCTCACTTAGAAGGAATGATCCCCTCCCACTCCCCACACTAGGAAGGTGCCAGAGGACTCCTAGTGGAGAGCCAGGACTTTTACCACTTCCCAGAGGGAATGATGGTTTCTCAGCAGTGTCAGTGCTTGCTGTCAGAGCTGCAAGAAAGCACCATCCCAGGGTGGACAGACTGGTGTATGCAGAAAAATAGTGAGGAGCTGGAAATTCCATCTAGCCTAGCTGTAAAGAGGGTTCTTTCCCATGCTAGGTGTCAACAGAAGCTGAATGGGGAACCTGGACTTCTATTATAGTAATCAGATATTAAAAAGTTGGCACTGCCACTTTTCCCTACAGGAGTGGCGTTAGAGGATGTCAGATAAAATAGAAGATTTAAATGAGATCTGGTGTCATAATGTAACCCACTGTATGAACAAATTTCAATGACCTCTATATTTTTTATAATCCTCTCCCTTAACTATTTGACCTTTTGAGTTGTTTCCTGGAAATGGTGGATTTTCTGCAAGACAAAGGAGGTGAGATTCCAAAGTTTCCTAGGCAACTTTGGAGCTTCCTGACCAAGACTCACTCTCTGTAACCTACACCACGGGCTAGACCCTTGTTAATTTCCCTTGTTAATTCAAGAAGAGCAGCCAAAATGCCTGCAGCCCTTTGTTTATTTCCCCTCTTTGAAAAGTCTGGACCCTGCCTTATTTGGGGTGACAGTTTTGAGAATGCTTTTCCCATTTTCCCCTCAAAAACTCTTTGGTATTAAAATTTCCTTTCTCCCTTGGCAATCCTCCTTGTCTCAGAAATTGGTTACTCTGTTCCAAGTAGCACCTGGACTGGACCTAGGCTGAAACTCCCGGGTGGTTTCCATAACAATAATATGATACCTCAGATACCCAGGTTCCAGTAGAAAATCACTCATCATGCGAAGAATCAGGAAAGTATCCATTTGATTTTTCTTTATATTTTCTATTTCTTTGCTAAAACTTTCTATTTCATTGCTGAGTGAATATCCAAAAGGGTAAACCCCAAGAAATTTATATCAAGACACAAGTCAAACTTCTGAAAACTAAAGACAAAAAAATCTTGAAATCATCAAAAAATAATAATAATATTTTACCTATAAGGAAAAACAATTTTAATTTGAATGATAGATTTCTCATCAGAAATTGTGACAGCTAGAAGGGTTTAGAAAAGAAATGAACATTTTTGGTAGCTTAAGAGTGATATATTTTCAGGATTCTGTTAAAGCTTGTCAAAATATTTAATTTCTCAGATTAGTAAACAGTTCTAGCTTAATATCATTTAATTGTTTGAATATCAGATATAAATGATCTAACTCTGTCATCTGATATCAAGCTTTTAATATCAGAAAGAATACCAACTCATAAGTGAGACACAATTGAGAATATAATATAATGCAGTTTATTTTTCTCAAAGAATGTATGTCTTATTTTACGAACTACTATATCTAATACTGTATTTAATGTAAACACATATTCACCATAAAAATATAAATGAAGATTATGTTTATGATAGTCATAAAAAGAGAGAATTATGAATCACCCAAAAATGAATATCACATTTTATTTAAAAAAAATCATAAACCAAGGTAATATTGCAATGTATATTTTTCCCAAACTCCAAATATTTTTTCATTCTCTCCTCAATGCAAAATCATTTTCCAAGAAGTCTTTGTCAAGTCTTACTATCTGCAATTTACATTATGAAATCAGTGTATTTTAAAATTGAGGCATTATTTACACGTGGTAGAATGTACTGACCACAAGTATAGAGTTCAATGAGATTTGAAAAATGTGTATGTATGGTCATCATATCTGGATTCAAGATGTGGAACATTTTTATCACTTCAGAAAGTTTTATTATGTTCTTTCCAATCAAACCTGAGATAGTCACTGAGCTGATTTCTATAGCCATCATAAAATTTTCAATTCAGTAAACTAATACGTGGAATCATATTATATATGTACTCTGTTGTTTCACTCTTGTTTTGTTCAACATAATGCTTTGGAGATTTATCCATTTCTTCCACGTTTATTCTTTTTTATTGGTAGGTTTTATTTCATTGTATGAATATGCCACAACTTATTTATTTATTCATCAGTTTATGAATGTTTGGGCTGATTCTAGTTTTTCATTATTATATTCTAGTATTTCATTATTATGAATTAAACACTACCACATATTCTTATAAGTCTTTGTGTGGAAATAAACTTAATAAGTCTATGTTTAGCTTAAAAGAAATTGGTATGTTTTATCAAGTAGTTATATATTTTGCTCTGTCATTCTGCCCCTTGATGAACAGTTTTTAATTTTCAAAGTTTGATTGTACTAATTTTTACGTATTTTTTGATGTTCTGACTAAAAATGTTTCCCTATTCTGAGGTAAAAAAAATATTCTTCTATGTTTTATTTCAGTTACTATATACTTTGGCTTTCACAATTAGGTCCATGCTCCCTTTTATATCATATATTTAATAGAATAAGATGAGAATTGAGTTTTTATTTTCACTTTTTTGTTTTGGCTTTTCTTAATACCAAAATGCAGTTGTTTCAGCACCATCTTTTGGAAAGATGTTCCTCTTTTTCTTTAATTACACAAGCATCTTTGTTGAATTTGAATTGATTGTTTATGTATGTGACTATTTCTGAACTATATTTTCCTTTATCTATTTTTCTACCTTTTTGCCAATAGTACACTATTTTCATTATTGTTGCTTTATAGTCATTTTGAAATCAGGAGTTTAAATCCTCCAAGTTTCTTTTTCAAGATTTCTTAGGTCTCTGTGTTTCCATAAAAAGTTTAGAGTTAGCTTGTCAATTTCTACAGCAAATCCTTCTGGAACTTTGATTAAGAAGGCATCGAATATATAGATAATTTGGGGGAATTCATATATTTACAATATTGAGTCTTTTTATCCATTGATATTACATTGCATATCCACTCATTTAGGTTTTAATTTTTGCCTATTAATTTGTAGCTTTAAGTGTAGAATACTTCCTTATATTTTATCAAATTTAATTCGTTTTAAGTGTTTTTGGTGTTATTGAAATTGACATTTTAATATTTTGTTATTCTTTTACTAATATAAAGAAAAACAATTGATTTGATCTGTCATCTATCTATTTATCTGTTAGAGTGTGAACTCTGTCCATAGGCGGGTGGGGGGATGGTATGTAAAAATAAATCTCGGACAGTGATTAGGGTAGAAAGAAGCATCACGTTTATTTACTGTTTCTCCAAAGACAAGGAAGGCATACTGTCAGAAAATAGGTACTGGACCCAAGGCCAAATTATTCTGACTCTTTATTAGGGCAGGCCTAGAAGGGATGGGTGGGTGGGTGGGGTGGTTATGACTGAAGCTCTATTAGTAGAGGACAGCTGAGAAACTGCTGAGTTCGTCCATTTCTGTCTCTCAGAAAGTAGGTTGATAACAGGAATTGGTTTCTTCTTTCTTCTTGCTAGTGGGAGACGTCTCTCCTTGGAAAAGTGGGGATGCTCATGTCTCAGCTGTCCTCAGAGGGATACTTCGAGGCTGTTTAAACAAGCTCAAAAAGACTTGTATAGGCAGTGATGGTCCATCAGGCAGTCCAGCCTTTCCTCCTCTTTCCCTGAGACTATTTTTCCGTTTGGAATGTGAATTGACCAACTCTGCGTGGAATGTTAATGAGGATTTCTGCCCCTTTTGTTAGCTTAGCTTCCTTTAATTGTAAGGCAAACATCTCTGTAGGAGAGAGATTCATGTTAACCTAGACAGACAGTGTTTATGCTACTCTAAGTAGCTGCCTGTTAAAAATTTATTTTTCCTTGTTAGTAACATTGCCCTTTTACTATCTATGATAACTTGAGATCTTGCTTATTATGAATAATATTTATTAATAATAATATTATTAATATTATTATTATTACTTATGTACTTAATAATATTATGTATTTATTATGAATAGTTCCATTAGCCCTTTTTGTAGATTTAGTAGATTTTCTAGGTATTTTATTAGGGACATTGTTGAAACCAAGTTAACAAGTTATAGTGGTTTCTAATTTTGGCTTTTTGTAACATGCTTGTTGGGTTTCAGTTTTAGTGTTATTCTGGACTCATAAAATGATATATGAATTGTTCACTGACATTTTATTTCCTGAAAGAATTTGGGTAAGCCTGTTTATACTTTTTCCTTATGTATTTGATAGCATTAATTCATAAAACCATCTGAATCTGGAATTTTCTGTCTGGAAAGTTTTATACTTTGAAATCTGTTTTTTTAAACAAATTTTGAGCCACTCAGATTTTCTGTTTATTTTTGTCACTTTTAGTAGGTTGTGCTTTTAAGTGAATTCTTTCTTTTTATCTAAGACTTATTGACCCTAACTTGTTCACAATATGTTCTTATTATATTCCAATTATCTATAGGATACGAATTAATATCCCCTCTTTTATATCTGCTTTTTGGTGACTCCTCTCTCTTTGTTTCTGATCAATCTTGTTAAGGATTTATCAATTTCCTTAAGAACTTCAAAGACCTCCACTTTAATATTGCCACTATTCTTTTTTTCCCCTGTTTTATTGTCAATTGTTCATATCTTTATCATTTTCTTTCTTCTCACTTTTGGGTTAGGTTGACTTTTTATCTCACATTTTAATTTTTAAGCATAGATCATGGTTTTAGTTTTAATATTGTCTGCTTTTCTAATACAAGAATTTAAAACTATAAATTTGCCTTGAGTAATTTCTAATGTATTTCACAAACATAAACAATTTTTGTTTTTATAATTCAGCTAGAAATGTTTTCTTATGGACCTTGTTCATCTTTCTTTTCACCATGAGTTATGTAAAACCAAAGAGACATTTATTAGCTTGGTTTTTATTCATCTGCCACCATTCACACTAATCTGCAACCAATGATTGGTATACTCTGATTGGTACAGTTAATATCAAGTGGTCTTGCTGAATTGAGGAATGGGTTGAGAGGACAGGGTGTTTAACCAGTAAGAAGTGGGTGGTGTGTGTTTGTGCATAAATAGAAAAGGGGGAGTTAGAATAGTGTGAAGAAATCCAGTGATTCCTCCCATAGATAAAAATTATGAAACATGGGCAAAAATATTTTTAAAAAACTGTTTGAAGTCATTGGAAAATAATAAGGCATCCAGAAACTTGAAAAGTAGTTAATATTAAAATATTACTATTTTATCATGTAAAGTAAGAACTGTGAGTTTGAACTTTCTGGCTAAGAGCAGTCCCCAGCATACTCACCTAACCCTCAAGATAGCAGATAATGAGTTTAAAGTAGAATCAAAATTGGAAGCATAAAAGGGAATTTTGTAAATGAGAGAGTGAAAGAAGATCTGACATGCCAAATCTGAGTATTATCTCTCCCCAAGCCCTTGGGTTACCACAGGAAGCTCAGTGAAAGAGAAAAACAACACAAGGAGAGAGGAATATATTTTTGAAAGACTGATTGAC